CCCTCACGGGGACGTGGAGGTTTTTTTTGTGGCCCCCCTATCAGGCGTGCCCATCCTCCCCTCCTTCCTGCCTTCGTTTTCCTCCACCTCCCTCTCCTTCCCTTCCACCCTTTGGTCGTCGCCGTCGTGGTCCTCTTCCTCCCTGTTCTCACCCCGTCGGCTCGATCCACAGATGAAGTACGGCTCGATCCACAGCAGGTACGATGGCACGGTCGCGATCGACGTGGACTCCCTGTCGATCGATGGCAAGAAGGTGGCGCTGTCGCACACCCGCGACCCAGTCAAGATCCCCTTCAAGGGGTACGGTGCGGACTGCGCCTGCGAGTCCACCAGCGTGTTCCCCCCCAACGAAGAGGCCCCGCCGCACCTCAAGGCGGGCGCGAAGCTGCAGAAGGAGAGGCCCCCTGAAAAGATCCGCGCCGAGATCCAGCGGCGCTCCGAGGGCGACATGAAGGGAACCCTGGGCTCTGCGACGTGCCCCATCTCCAGCACCTTCGAGTTGCAGGCGGGCATCGTGCTGGACTCAACGTTCATGAAGCACGTTGAGGATAAGGGCGAGGAGGACGAGGAGGACGAGGCTGAGGGGCAGATCGAGGAAGAGGCGGCACGGTCCTCACCCTCCTCATCTCATCAGGCGCTCTTAAGCCAAAATGGCTACAGAACCTCCTCCTACTCCCACGCCTACTTCTTCTCCCCCTCCCTCGACTCTGGACCCTTCCTCCTGGTTTCTTCCTTCCTCTGCTCCTCCTCGTCCTCCTCGTCCTCTGCCCCCTCTTGTCCGCCCCCCTCTCCCTTTTCTTCTCCCTCGCCCTCTTCTTCCACCCCCGACGCTCGACGATGGTTTTGGCACGCACGACGACGAGGCGGGGCTAGCATCCTCCTGGTCGTTATTGCCTTCCTTCCGGAAGCCTGGCGCGACGCGCGCCCAAATGATGAGCAACCCAATCAGCTGCCGGGCCTCTTGCTCGTCATGGGCGATGCCCTGTGGCTGCTCGCCCTGATGGTCCTCGCTGCCGTGGAGGTGTCAATGCGGGCGCGGGCTGCCGTAGGCGGCTTTCTCGCCAGGGGCTGGGCTGTGGCAGCCAAGATCGACGTGTCCCAGGGCTGGAGCCAGATTCGGATGTATGGCCAAGCTGCAGCCTACCTCGGACTTCACCTCGCCGTTGCCGCTCTTGCGGGCGCTATCGCGGGAGGCCTGCTCCACGCCTGGGCTTTCCCGGCTGCGCTTGCGCCTTCAGCTGCCCCAGCCGCTCTGGCTTGCGGTTGGAGCGCCCTGGACTTCGACGCGACTCTCGGGCATCCCGGCGAGGGCCCTGGCGCCGCCGGTGGTGCCAGCGGGGCCGCAGCAGCAGCAGGAGCTGAGTGCCCTGGGCCGGTGGCTGCCGCAGAGAACGCCATGGACACTGACGGCCCCCCCGCGGTCGGAGTTGCCTGGGCTCTCTCCCAACAGGGCCGCGGACGGCGAGCCCACTGCTGCGCTTGCAAGGCGGCGTTCACCATCGGCGAGGCGCGGCTCCAGACACAGGGTGGGAAACGTTTCTGCCACTGGCACTGCGCGGGCACGCGGTGGCGACGCTCGGCGACGCTGACCGGGGCCCGGGGGGTGCCCGAGGATGAGGTCGAACGCGTGCGGGCCCTCCTTGGCGAAGCAGCGGCGGTGCCTGAAGATGAGCCCGCGGCCTTCCAGCCTGAGGGGGTTCCCAATCCCCTGGCTGCTGCGCCTCACGGGGAAGGAGGAGGAGGGGACGAGGAAAGCCTCCAGCCCCCCCGCCTGGCCCGCATGACCTGGTGGGACAACGTGGATGTCCAGCACGCCCTGGGCCAACGGGTTGCCACCATGCGGCGCGTGCCCCCTGGCCTCCAATCCGCCTGGGCCGAAGCCATGGGCGCGGCGCTCCGGCTGAGCGTCCGCGGGAGCGACCCGCAGGAACGAGAGAGGGCTTGGAAGTTGGTGATGTTCGCTCCGCGCCTTGTTTTCGCTGCCACAGGATCACGCGGCGGCCGCGGAGCGAACGGCAAACGGGCGGCGCGCATCCAACATGACCTCGCCGCACGCCTGCAGGCGTTCTGGCGCGGGGAGTGGCAGGAACTTTGGGACGCAGCGCATCGGCGAGAGCTCCGGGTGGCGCCGGCGCGCGGCCAGGGTGGGAACATCATCAACAAGGTTCGCCGTGTTCGGGCCATGTTGGACGATGGACAGGTGGCGGGCGCGGTCGCCACCCTGCGCCAAACTGGGCAGGTGGCCACAGGACCTGGCACACGCGACCAGCTCCGAGCTCTCTTCCCAGAGCAGAACACGTGGAACCCGGGGCAGCAAAACGCCGCCGCAGCACTCATCCCAGAAGACCCGCGCGAGGGCCTGAGCGATGCCATCGTCAAGGCCTTTCGGAAGGCGCGCTCTGGCCGCGCGCCGGGGCCGGATGGCAGTCGCAACGAATACTGGCGCGTGGTTGCCGCTGACGCCGACGCCGCCGCCGCCCTGTCCGACGCCGCCCTCGCGTGGGTTGAAGGCACCTCCCCGCCGATCGTGGACGTTTGGCTTAACGCTGGGACAATCACGGCGCTCCGCAAGCCCGCCGGCGGGGTTCGACCCCTCACGGTCCTCGCCCCCTTCCGGCGCACTGTCCTCACAGGCTTCGTCGCTTACACCGCGGATGCCACGCGAAGCGCCGCTGGCCCGCTCCAGTACGGACTCGGAGTGGCCGGGGGCGCGGACGTCCAATTTCGGGCTCTGCAGAGCGCGGTGCACGACCGGCCAGGGAGTCTTTTGATCGCCGTCGATGTCGCCAACGCCTTCGGCACGGTCTCCCGCCAGGCCGTCCTTGACTCCCTCAGCGCGGTTCTGCCTGAGTACGGCAGCCTGCTGGCGCGGCTCTACGCGAAGCCCGCGGTGGGCCTCTGGCGCGACGGGGAGGGTGATCTGCACGAGTTTAGCACTGGGTCCGGCGTGCCCCAAGGCTGCCCCCTCAGCCCGGCGGCGTACGCGGCGGCCCTCCACCGAACGACGTTGCAGCACTTCGCCAACTCCCCGGGGCGGCTGGTCACGGCGTATCTCGACGACGTCGTTGCAGTCGTGCCGGTCGCAGAGGCTGAGCAATTCCTCCACGACCTCTCCGGCAGACTCAGCGCCTGGGGGCTCGTTCTCAACGCGACCAAAACCAAAGTGTGGCTCCCCCCTGGCCACACCCAGTGCCCCCCGGCACTGCGGCCCCACGTGGTTGATGATCTCCGCGTGCTCGGGTGTGGCCTGACGCGCCGCCAGGACGACGACTGGGCGGAGCTGGCCGCCGGCTCCGGGGGCGGCGCCCGAGCCATGGGCAAGGTTACGGAGGCCTTGGGGGTTTTCGGCCAGACCTTGGACGAGGCCGTGGCCGCCGGCCTCGGGGTCCAAGAGGCCGGCGTTATGCTCCGCTGGACTGCGCAGGGCCTGCCGAACCACCTCCTGCGCGCGCAGCTCGTGGACCAACGAGCGGTGCAAGCTTTCGACTGCGTCCTCCGGCGCCTATGGGACCGCCTCCTTAACGAGACCCAGACCGACAGGGAGTGGGCCCAGGCTTGCTTACCGCTCGGAGACGGCGGCCTCGCCGCAGGAGCCGCCGAACCCCGTCGGGAAGCCGCCCACGTGGCCGCCTGGTGCGCCGCGGCTCCGGCTGTCGCGCGCGCCTTGGGCATGGGCAGCGCAGAGGAGCTCCTTGCGAGGCAGGCCACGGGCACCCAGGGCTTCGCCGACGCTGTGGCTGCCTACAACACCAGGGTGGGCAACGCGGCTTACTACCTCCAGGTCTCGCTGGCGCAGGGCGAACGGAGCAGACAGAAGGACTTGATGCTGCCCGTCATGGAAGTCCTTGGCGCGCGGGCTAGGGCCGGCCTGGACGACCGCGCGCTGGGCCGCCTTCTGTCCTGCGGAGGCCCTGGGGCAGGGGCTTTCACGCTGTTGCCTACGGCGCCAGAGCACCGGATGGCAACCGACCTGTACCGACTTGCGTTGCGGAGGCGCCTCCAGATGGAGGGCCCGCGGCTGCTGAAGGGTCATGCATTGCAGACGCACTGTCAACACACATCCCGTGACGGGGTGGTTTGCGGAGCTTTGCATGAACCCGATCAGCATCACGCAATCGCGTGCGAGAGGGGGCCCACGCGCACTGCGCGGCACAACCGGGTCCGCGATTTGTTAGCGCGTTGGCTTGCCAAGCGGGTCCCGGGCCTGGTGCAGACCGAACAGACAGTGCCGCAGTGGACGCGGCGGCGCCGGGATCCAGAGACTGGCCAAGATCGGATGGAGCTGGCGGTGCTGGACGTTAAATGGTCCGAGAAGGGCGTGTGCCACGTGGTGGACGTGGTGGTCACTAGCCCAGACAGCGCTGACGAGCGCGAGGAGAGGGCCAGGGCGGCCCACGCGGGCCTTGCTGCCGAGGACGCCGCACGGGGGAAGCAGCTACGCTACCCGCCTGGCCCAACGACGCCAGCCCTGACGCCTTTCGCCGTCGAGACAGGCGGGCGGGTCGGCCAGGCGGCCAGACAGCTCGTGCTCGACCGGCTGGACCACGCTGAAGGTGAGGCAGGGGCGAGCGCAGACGCCACTGCCTTTTGGCAGGAGCTCTCGGCCACGCTGCAGACTGCAGTGGCCGAACAGATCCTCGCCGCTCATAGGCCGCCGGCCCCAGCCGGAAGACGCTGAGCTGGGCGTGGCCTGGGTGTTGGCGGTGGTGGTTGAGGTGGTGCTTGAGGTGGAGGTTGAGGTGGCGGCGGAGGAGGAGGAGGAGGAGGAGGAGGAGGAGGAGGAGGAGGAGGAGGAGGAGGAGGAGGGGGAGGCCGCGGACGCATCCAGCTTGCGGGCAGAGGGCGCGCTGCTGAGGTGCTTGGCGCCCGGAGGACGAGGGCCGTCGCGCCCGGGGGCTTGCCGGAGGATGAGGAGGAGGCAGGGGGCGGAGGAGGCGGAGGCGGAGGACGAGGTCGACAAGCGGGCCCCGGAACGCCCTGAGGCCAGCATGAGCGGTTGGCGCCGAGGCGCCCGGAGACAGGAGGAGGGGGTAGAGGCGGCGGAACCAGAAGAAGAAGAGGAGAAGCGGCCGTGGCACGGAGGAGCACGTAGAGGCTGAGGAGGAGGAGGATGAGGCGGAGGCAGAAACAACAACCACGTTGAGACTGATGAGGAGGTACAGGTAGAGGAGGAGACGGCAGCCATTCCAACGCCACGACACGATGACCGCCCCCCGCCCCCCGCCCCCTCCTTCCCCCTCCCGGGCCGCCCTCGCAGGTGTGTTAATTTCGCTTGTTCCACTTCCCCCCCAGCCTGGGTCAGGGGCCGTTGCCCGCAGGCCGAGGGGGTGTATAGTGCTGCTGGGACTGGACGGCGCCCTCACACGCCTGACCCCGGTGGCCACCCATCCTAAAGAGGGCTGGGTGCCGGGGTCGCGGTGAAGCTGGAGGAAGAGGAATGGGAGGAGTTTCGGAGCTTGGGATTTGGGGGCGCCGAGGCCCAGGAGTGCCAGCACCAAGGGGGCGCCGAGGCCCCAAGAGGGGCGCCGAGGAGGAAGGGGGGGGGGGGGGGGGGGGGGGGGGGCAGAGGAGGGGAGGAGGAGGAGGAGGAGGAGGAGGAGGAGGAGGGGGACGAGGAAGAGGAGGAGGAGGAGGAGGAGGAGGAGGAGGTGAACACCTCCTCCTCCCTCCTCTTTTTTGAATCTCTGAATTTTGAAAAGTACAGAACAAATTTGAAAATAATTGTCAATATTGAAAAATAGTGATAGATAGTGAGAATAATGATTTTTTTCTGTAAAAAAAAATGAAAACATAATGAAACATAGTTAAAGAATATTGAAAATGCATATGTTTAGGGATTCCAAGTTCAGCCGATGATAGGACACTGTAAGCTCCTATAGACCCTATAGTGAAACAAAGGGGGGGGGGGGGGGGGGGTATCGGGGACTATCACTATCGGCATTCCTATGGAACCTATTGGGCCTCCTATAGACCTATAGAATCCTGACTCATCCAAACCTCTCCTAAAATAGAACCACTTACCTAACCTATAACTACTTATACCTGCGCACCCATCAAAGTGTCAACACCGCCCTCAAATGATGGCACGACGTAGACAGCAGGAGCGCACTCAGACGCATGAGCAACCGTTGCAGCAGCGAAGAGATTGACCTGCCCTTGCAGGCCACGGCGATGCACACTTGCGAACCACCGAAATGAAGCAGCCGGCCTCCCAGGGCGGAGGTCTTGCGTGCGCAGGCGCCACCGAAAAGTAGTCAGCAGCGCCTGCATCTCAAGGACATTGATATGTCGACCCCCACCCAGGGGAAAAGATGCGCACACCTTCCACTGCCACATGCGCGCTTCCACCCCGCGGCGCGGCCAGCCAGCTAGGTTGTGGACGTGCCCGCTCGCGATATGTCGCTGCCCTCGAAGATGGCAGAGCGGGCCAGGCCCTCGCACGCGGCGCTGCGCACCTCCTTGGAACTTGTGTCGGAGGGGGCATTGCCCGGAAGCTGGCCGAGGCATTCGCCCGCCTGGGCGCCGCGAGCCCCCCAGCGCTCAGCGATCGTCGGCGGCCGCGCCAGTGCTCCTGCGGCCAAAAGACCGCGGCCCAGCAGCATCGCCACGACGGGAGCCGAGAACGCGTTGCTGTGGAGACCACAGCGCACATCCTCCACCTCGCGGCCTGAAAGGCCCGCGGACTTGGGCGCAGCCCGCAGGCAGTGCTTGACTGGAAAGCCCAAGGGCACGGCCCTCTCCGCACTCGTCAGAGGGCGGGGGCATCCTTGGCGGTCATAGACCACGTTGCCGAGCTTGTGCTGGCACGGGGCGTAGCGATACCGGTCCGCCCCCCAGCGAGCCCGCGCGGCACGCCCCGCCCTCGCGAGGCCCGCGGGGGCGACTGGTGGCTTCTCGCGGGGGATCGGGCGCATGGAGGTGGCCCAGGCCCCATGCTCCCCCCGCGGATGGCTCGCCCCGCTCTCGAGCCACTCGACCCAGAAAATGCCGTGCCCCTCGGAGCGTCCCTCGGATCACCCCGGCCTCCGCCCCCCTGCTCAACTCTGGGGCCTGAGGGCCCAGCGGGAAGTCGAGCCAATGCAACCTCGGCCCCCTGACCGGACTGCAACCGCTGGCCCAGTGGTCGATCGGCACTGAGCCCAGCGCCCTGGTGAAGCGGCGGCGGCCCCCCTCGCTCATGGAGCTGGTGTTCTCCGCAAGGGGCAGCGCCACGAGCTCAGGACACGCCTCCCGCGGCAAAGTGGCGACGCGGGGAATGTGCTCGACCAGCTGGGCGCGCGCCTCGGCCCAGCCCCCCGCGGCCACGTTGGCCCGCGCGGCGCCCTGGCAAGGCGACCCACCGAGAACGAACAGCACCCGCAAATGGGGCGCTCGCGCCAGGAGGCCGCGCAGCGACTCGGCCGCGATGGAGCGGACGTCCCCCGGCCCAACGCCTTCGGGCCAGCGCTGCTGCACCGCGCGCCTGGCGGGTTCGAAGACCTTGGCGGAAGCGCGGAGACAGACCTCAATGCCGAGTCGCCAAGGCCATGCGCCCACCGCCGATGCCCCCAAACAGCTCGACGATGCCCACCTCGCCCCTGTTTGCACCTCGGCCCTGCGCCGAGGTCGACAAAGCTGAGTCGCGAAACTCTGGGCGGAGGCTCCGCCCAGCAAGCGCCGCCACCCCTCTCCGACGCGTCGCTCGCGGTGATCGCGCTGCCCGCGGGCGCGCGGAGGTCGGACTCGCGCAACGGCAGCAGGCTGAGAGCCAAGGCCAGCTCGGCGCAGACATCTGCTGACGGCAGGCTCCTCTTGCCCCCATCCCAGCGGGCGATGCCGCGCCGCAGCCTCCGGAAGACCGTGCCGCGCTCGCGCCTGAAGCAACTCATGTGGCACCAATGCCTGGCGACCATCTGGGCCTCCTTCCTGCTGACAGCCTCCGCGAGCAGATGGGCTGTCAGTTGGGCGCAGAGGGCTGCCCTGGAAGGGGGGGGCGCGGACGCGCCCGTCTCTGCCGTCAACCAGGGCCCCCAGCCGCTGGCAGGAAGGCACGCGCGCCCAACTCTTCTCGCTCAGCGGCACGTCTCGCTGGGCGTAGCGGTCGCGCGCGCCGGCGGCGAAGCCCCCCGCCGGCTCCGAACATCGGCGCGCGAGTTCGGCGTAGTCCGCGTCGTCGCAGTAGACCTGCCAGAGCTCCCTCAAGGCCGAGCCCCCCCGCAACGCGGGGAATGACCTGTCCTTGCGCGCCTCTCGGCCCCTCGGCAGCGGCGAAGGTCCCAGCCCGGCCTCAGACAGCATGCGCTTGTGCACGTACTGCACCAGACCCATCGCATAGTGACCGCGCCGAGGTAGACCTGGCCCCCGAACGGCGCCCCCAGGCCCGGGCTCGCCGCGTCGACGACTGCGTCGAACGCGAACAGCGGCGCCCAGGCATCGGGCAGCCTGAAAACGTAAAAAGCCCCCTTGAAGTCGTCGAACGACCGCGCGAGCTCCTCGTCGGGCCCCAGCACGATGGACCTCCACTGCGCGAAATATGGCAGGGCGCCGAGATCCCCCCCAAAGTCGAGGGGTACCTCCTTCGTCGCAGCGAGGTTCATGATGAGCCTCAGCACCTCCCTCCCCTCGGGGCCCTCAGGGGCCACCTGGCTCTTGGGCACGCCGAACAGCCCGTTAAGCAGAGGCTCGCCCTGGATCTTCAAGAGGTCCGCCTCCCGAATGGGAATGACCAGCCCTCGCTCCAGAAGCCCGCGCGCCAGCGGGAGCAGCGACTCCCGCTCGCACCTGGCGCGCCCAGGCTTCGGGCGGACCGGCGCCCTGTCCAGCGGCATCAGCGTCGAGAGCGGATCGTTGAACCAGCGGGCCATGCGCTCATCCTCATCGCAGGTCCACGACCCGCCGCGCAGCGCACCGATCCTTGGGCGGCAGCCCAGGCAGCAGCTCAGCTCCTCGGCTCGGCGGACAGCCTCCCCGGTATAGCTGATGCTGCGCGACGCCAGGAAGGTCGACGCTGGCGCGCTCGGCAGCGGCTCAGACTGCGGCCTCCAAAAAGCCTCCACGCGCCGCTCCAATATCCAGAATGCGCGCACCCTAGCCGCAGCGACGTGCCGCTCCTGACCGAGGGCCGAGAACTTCGGCCAGCGCGCGTCGCCCTCGAGCCACATGGCGTTGAGCGCCACGATGCAGCACTCCAGCCATGCCTCCAAGCCTGGGCGCTCGGGATGCGCGCGCCTACGGCCAGCCCAGTCGCCGTTCTCAGCCAGGGTCCGATAGGACCGCGTCTGTCGGCGCAGATGCTCGAGCCCCCCCCCCCCTTCCCGCAGGGGGCGGCAATGTGCCCATCCGACTGCAACCCTTGCCGCTGAAGCCCCCGTCTGGTGCCGCCGCAGCACTGCTGCCGACCCCTGGCAGCTTGGCGGGGAGGCGCGCGCGGAGCAACTCGCCGAACGCGGCAAGATCGGTACCCATGATGGCGTCGGGCTGGATGAGCTGCCTCAGCCTCTCCAGCGCGCGTTGAACCAGCCATGTAAGCTCCGCGCTCCGCCTCCTTTGGGAAGTGGCTGGTCGCCCCTGGACTGCCCCCTGCCTTTGAGGCAGGGCCTCTCCCCCCGCGGCGCTGGGGCCCACGCCGCGGGGGGGCTTCTCGCCCGCGGACGGGCGAAGTCAGCTGGCGCCCCTGGCAAGGCTTCCACCTCGGGCAGCCTGCCGCTCGGCCTTCGCAGCCTGCCGCATCTTGACGAAGAAGGCTGGCGCCCCCGGCTTCGGCAGGTCGGACTTGGAGTCCTTGCCCTTGCCGCCGCCTCTGCCCTTGCCCCGGCCTTTACCCTGGCCCTTCCGGCGGGGGGCTGCTGGGCGAGCGCGGCCTCGGCCCGCCGCGATCTCGACCTTCCTCGTCGGACAGCAGGCCCCCACCTGCCTCCGGGGCGCAGGCTGGCCGCGGGGCTGGCAGGGTTGCACGTCGCCCGCTGAGGCGGGCTTCTCGAGAAGCGGACTCGGTCGCCTCCGCCACGGGGCGGAGAGGAAGCGTCCACCTCAGAGGCGCCCCGAAGCACCGCCGGACTGCGCTCGCGCGAGCCCGCGGCCGCGCATGGTCCAGGGGAGAGCGATGGCTCCCCCGAGCCTGGACTCCGCGGGGGTGACAGCGCCTCCCGCGCGCCCCCCGCGGGGGTTTGTCAGTGCACGGCGGACATGCCGGCGTGCGCCTCGGACTGGAGCTTCGCGCACTTCATGTCCGACTTCTCGTTCTCGTCCTTGAGGGTGCCCTGGCGCCCCGCGCCCTCCATGACCGACGCCGCGCCGCCCCCCGCGACGCCGAGGTGCCTGGCTGCGCGCCGCGACCCCCCGTCGGCGCGGCGCTGCTCCACCGCCTTGAATTGCCGAATCAGCAGGTCGGCGGCGCGGCCCAAGTCGGGCAGAAGGATCGCCGCTGCGTGATCTCGCCCAGCCTCCTCTCCACAGTACGCTCGGTGATGTCGCGCGCCGAGAGTCGGGCGCCGGGGCAACGATCCCGCGAACCGCTGGAGGAGCGAGAGCCCGCGCCGTCGCTAGTCGCTTTACGGCGGGATCGGGGGCGGCGAGAGCGGCCGCTGCCCCCGCCCCCCGACCGCGACCCGCGCCTGGGCTGCGAGTTCGCGCCGCCCTGGACCGATGCCTTCGACAGGATGCGGCCCTGCAGCGACTGCCTGTCCTCTCCCATGCGGTCCGAGCGCTTGCCCGAGCAGCCGCGCCTCGCCGAGGGTTCCTCGAGCTCCTCGACCTCCTCGACGCCCGCGTCGCCCCCGGCCTCACGCGGCCGCGGGCTGTCCGAGCGGAGGCGGGCGACGGGCCCAGCACTCCTGCGCTGCGCGGCGGGCTGCAGACCCAGCTCGCCGTTCGCCAACCGATCGCGGAGGCTCTCGAGCTTGTCCTTGAGGCCGCGCTCGCACCCAGCAGGAGCAGAGGCGTGGGCGCTCGCGCCGCCTCCTAAATCCCCCCGCTCTGGCGGGCCCCCCCTTTCCTCCTCCTCCTCGTCCTCGACGGGGGTCGGGGGCTGCCCGGGCTTCGTCGCGCTCGAGGGGCGCTCCTTTGCCTTCGCCTTCGCCCGTGCAGCGTTGATCACCTTGATGACCTTCGCGCGAGAAGCGCCCTCGCCCGCGTGGCCCACGAACGGCAACTTCGAGTACCTCCAGCGCCCAACGTGGATTATCGCCGCGTCGTAGAACTTCGAGCCCGAGCCCTCCTGCCCGCACAGACACTTGCTGTGGTCCGTGCTGACAGGGCAGAAGTGCATGAGCGGCACCTCGGACGGGCCCTCGAAGGCGACGCCCATCTGGATGCTCTCCTCCTCGCGCTCCGCGCCCAGGTGCGCGACCTCGAACACCGCGTGGAACCCAACGCGGCCGAACTTGCTCTGGCGGCCGCCTGCATCCGCCGCGGGCCCCAGCACCTCGAAGGTAACGAGGCCGTCGAGCTCGACGTCGACGATGGGCGCCTCCCCGCGCCTGGGCCCGAGCTTCGCAGGCGTCGGGTAGGCGCTGTAGTGCCGCTCCGGCGCCTTGCGCTCAGGCCCCTTCGTGACCGCGGGCTCGAGCCACTCGTCCTCCACGTTGAACGCCTCGCCGCGGCCCTCCTCTGGAGCCTCGGCGGCGCCCCTCGCCGCCTCGCATGGCCAAGCGCCCACGGGGGCGGCCGCCGCCGCTCGCGGCAGCGCCGCCCCCGCCGCCGCGGCCGCGCGGGGCGCCGCGCCCGCCCGCGGCCCCTCGGCCGCCGCCGCCGCCTCCGCGCGGGCGAGCGCCGCCCGCAGGGCGCGGCGCGCTGCGGGAGCGCCCGCGGGGGCCGCCTGGCGGCTGGCCCGCGCGGCTCGGACCCGGCCCTTGAACCGCCGCGAGGACGCGCGGGGCCCAGCGTGGCCTGCGCCTGCAGGCCGCCTGGACATGGGCGCCGAGGGCTGCGAGGCGGGGCGCCGCATCGTTGCGGGGGGGGGCATCCTACCTGAACACCTCCGCGTTCAGCACGGGCTGGCCTCCCCCGCGCGGCGCAAATCGCCCGCCCGCGCGCGCCTGCGCGAGCGGGCGGGTGCAAGCATCCGTCTTGAACCCCAAAAGGCTGCAATGAGGTCGGAGTGACAGAAGATCGCCCCAGGACGGCCCAACAAGCTCCCGCGAGGGCTCCAAAACAGCGCAAGAGGGCTCCAAGACGGCCCAAGAGGCACCGGGAACAGCCCAAGAGGGAAGGGAAATCCGAATGAACATTTCGAGCTTTCGGTCCCGAGAGGCCCCAGGAAGCTCTAAGAGGCCCCCAGGAGGCCCTCAAGAGGCTCCAGGAGCGCCCCAGGAGGCTCCAAGAGGGGCCCAAGAAAAAAAAACCCAAGAAGCCCCCAACAGGCCCCCCAAAGGCCCCCAAACTCTCCCGCACAGGCCCCCGAGAGCGGTCTCGAGAGACCCCAAGAAGCGCCCATGAGGACTCCGACCCAAGCGCGGTGGCGGGATGGGCCGACGGCCATTTGATCCGTCGCCCCCTGTCGAGTCATCTCAGGGGTGCCTGGCGCGATGGACCTCTCGGTTTGGTTTTAATGTTTTTCCAACAAAACTCCCCCTGGCGCTTCGGCCCGCCCCGCTGGGGTCCCGGGAGGCCCTTCCAGGAGCGCACACTCAGGAAACATTCCTCCCTGAAACGGCCGTCTCGCTCGGGACATCCTCAACAAATTGCGAAGATGGCCCAAGATGGCCTCCAAGTCCGCCCAAGATGGTCCAAGACGGCCTCCAAAATGGCCCAAGAGAGTCCCAGACGGCCCAAGGCGGCCCAAGAGGCCCCCCCGAGGCCTCCCAGACGGCCCAAAAGGCCTCCAAGAGGTCCTCCTGGAGGGCCCGAACAGGCCGAAATCATTGATTTGTCTTACGTTTTTGAAAGAGTTTGGGATGTGCTTCTTCTCGGCATTCCGACTGCTCAAGACGGCCCAAGAGGCGCCCGGGATCGCCCAAGAGGCCCCAAAGAGCGCCTCTATGACGGCCCAGGTGGCCTCCAAGACGGCCCCAAAAGGGCCCAAGAGACCTCCAAGACGTCCTCCAAGAAGGCCCGAAAGGGCCAAGACGCCCTTCAAAAATACCTTCAAGATGTCTACGTGTTCCCCGAAGGCTTTCCAAACCGACTCGGGGAACACGTGGCCCGATAGCTCGGCAGCTCTGGCCTCAACGTTCGGCCGCAGAGGCGCTTCCACAAAGGCAGGGGGCGGCGGTGATTCGCCGTAGGCCTCTTCGATCGCTGGCATACGTTTTTTTGGTTCGCGGCCCCAAGGCGAGGGACATGGAACGGGTCAACGTCCGGGGCGCGGAACGAAGGTAATTGGCCGCAGCGGCGCATGCACATGCCAGGGACAAAATGACCCCCATTGAGACGCATACGGCGTCGGCAAGTGACCGGCACAGACATCCCTGCAGGTGGGGGCGCCAAGGCGCGGCGACCGGCGGCGGAACGGGGGGGAGAAGTCGCCTTTTCGGCGCGAAGCTCCAGCCGAACCACAAACGGAAGCGGGGCCAAAACGGACGGCGCGGCACAGAAAGAGGGTCCGAATGGCCACTGGCCAAGCGAAGCCAACGAGCGTGCACACAGATACGGGCCGCCCAAGACCACCGCAGAGGGGGGGAGGAGGGAGCAAAAGCGAGCGACAACAAAAGGCTCACTGCAGCACAACGAATAAACGATGCTGCGGCAAAAAAAGGGGCCTGACTCATCATGGTTCACTGATGCTGAAAGTAGCTGAAACCCGTCAGAGAACCATCCAATAGAGGAAGCTGGTGTGCGTTCACGAGGCTGAGCCACCTCCAGCCGGTAGCCAGTGCGTGCACATCGTATCCGACTCTCGCGGTTCGGGGGCAAAACGATGCAAAGTACTGACGGGGGCTGGTAGCAGACTGTTCTGCTAGGGGGCGACCACGAACTGCAGAAGGCTGAACCACTCGATGCAGGGCCACTCCCTGGCGAAGCCAGACCTCGGGCGTCACCGAATGTATGGCTGACGGCCGCACCCAATCCACACCTGTCACGCAGCCCGGGCGTAAGCCGAGTACACCGACGCCAGTCAGGAGCCGATGGCTGGAGGTTACCGAGCTGCTGGGCCTTAACGTTCGTAGGCGGCATGCTGACGGCGGGCCAAGACGTCCTTGAGGTAGAGCCATGACCGGGTCAGCGACGCACCAGGGCGAAACTCGGGCAGGAGGGGGGCGCAGCCAGCCGCTGAGCACCGGTGTCAATGAGGGATGGCGGGGCACCAACCAATGGACCACCGGTGTGCGTTCACAAGGCTGGCAACCACCAGCCGGTAGCCAGTGCACTTACATCGTATCCGACTCATGCGGTCCGGGGGCACAACGATGCAATGTCCTGGCGAGGGCTGGGGCTGTGGCTGCGCCGAGAAGAGTCAAACAAACTTGGACCGCGGAAGGCTGAACCACTCGATGCGGGGCCGCTCATTCGTCGAAACCAGTCACCATGTGTATGGTGGACAGCCCCTCCACTCATCACCTGCCACGCTGCCCCTGCGGAAGCCGGATGCGTCCGACGCTGGGGCATACAGGTGGGTGGCAGTTGCCGCGCTGCTGGGCTGTACCGTTCGCTGGCGGCGTGCAGAAATGCCAAGGCGTCCTCGTGGTGGGACCAAGGCTGGGTCGGCGCTGATACTCCCTGGGCAGGTCACAGGGCGGACGCTCTTCATCGGTCGGTGCAGTCTACGCTGTTGATCGGGGGGGGGCGCAGCCGAAAGCCGCAGAGACGTTGTGATCGAGAAGAGCAGGAGGGGGCGCAGCCAAAAGCCGCTGGACACTGATAGATACCCTGGGCCTCCATGCGCAGAACTTCTTGACCACGGGCGTGCTGACCTGCCAAGGCGTCCTTGTAGCCAAGCAGTGGCTGGGTTGGCAATCTTCGCAATTGAACGGGGGGGGGCGCAGCCGAAAGACGCAGAGACGTTGTGAATGAAGGAGGAGGAGGAGGAGGAGGAGGAGGAGGAGGAAGAGGAGGGGGCGCCGTCAAAGCCCGGGACACGGTGACTGGGCCACTCGATGTGGGGCAGCACGACAGCTGGCATACGCGCCGCGTTACGACTTTCGATGCTGCGCGTCACTTCGGCAAACTCCCTGGGAGCGGCCGGTGATGCGCCGCCAGCGTCCTCGATAAAAACTGGCTCCTATCGGGTGCGCCATCGGTTGCGCCCTCGGCGGCCGAGAATGAACATTTTTCCGATCAATTGCGCCATAGGTTTCGCCCTCAGCGGCCCAGAATTAAACCGTCTCTTATCGGTTGCGCCATACGTTGCGCCCTCGGCGGCCAAAAATAAAACCGTCTCCTATTGGTTGCGCCATAGGTTGCGCCCTCGGCGGCCAATAATAAAACCGTCTCCTATGTGTCGCGCCATTATTTTTGCGCCCTCGGCGGCCGAGAATAATAACCGTCTCCTATCGGTTGCGCTATATGTTGCGCCCTCGGCGGCCGAGAATAAAATCGTCTGCTATCAGTTGCGCCATCGGTTGCGCCCTCGGCGGCCGAGAATAAAACCGTGCCCTATCGATTGCGCCATAGGCTGCGCCCTCGGAAGCCGAGAATAAAACCGTGTCCTATCGATTGCGATATAGGTTGCGTCCTGGGCGGCCGAGAATAAAACTGGCTCCTATCGGTTGCACCATTGGTTGCGCACTCGGCGGCCGAGAATAAAACTGTCTCCTACTTGTCGCGACATAAGTAGCGCCCTGGGCGGCCGAGAATAAAACCGTCTCCTATCAATTGCGCCAAAAGGTTGCGCCCTCGGCGGCCAATAATAAAACCGTCTCCTATCGGTTGCGCCATGATTTTTGCGCCCTTAGCGGCCGAGAATGAAACTGTCGCGTATCGGGTGCGACCAGTTCGTTCAGTTCAGTTCACTTCAGCTCAGTTCAGTTCCGTTCAGCTCAGTTCAATTCAGTTCAATCAGTTTACCTTGCGAGAAACAAAGTTGGGCTACGCCAGAAATGAACAAGAACTGCTGTCGGTCTTTGTGCAAACTCTTTCCATACCCACTTCGACCATCCCGATTCCCGGCGCGCGGAGCTCCAGGGGCGGCGCCGGAGCCTCCTCTGCCAAGGGGGCCCAATGCCGATGCAAGAAATACGCGCGGAACTCAAACAATTTCTGCTTCCGCCGTGCTTGCTTCGCCGATCGGCTGCACCGCTGGGGACCATCCCCCTTCATCGCGAGACACTGTTTTGCGCGAGTCACGGCCCGAAGATGACCCGGCCCGCCTGGGGCGCTGAGACTTCGAGGAAACGCCCGCCGCGTTTCGGGCTGGACGAAAGGAGGGGTTAACGAGGGGGGGAGTGCGAAGCAGCTCACGTAGCTCGTGTTCCCAGCGCTGGAGGCGCCAACGCATCGAGTAAGGCGCTTGGCTGCGGAGCCGAAACCAGCTGCATGCGGCAGATTTCGCTCCCCTTCTTTCCCAATCCCCCTTTCCGTCAGACCAAAGACTCCAGTGTTTGAAGCAATTCTTGCATGGGGAGGGGGGGGGCGTGGCCACGCCCGGGTGGAAATCTGGACATCAGGCAAGGCGGGACTCGCTTCAACGCGTTTTCGGCCCAGCGATGCTTGAATAGGCGGCGGGGCGGATGGGGGGGTGAAATGCCATGCAAGTCCGCAGGCCCTCTTGCGGGGACACGAAGATTGGGGCCGAGCAACGTAGGTACCAGACCTGAGCTCCTCCGTCACAGTAAGTTCCAAGTTCCAAGGCAGTTTCCAGCTTCCAGTCTCCAATGTTCAAGTTATGCTTCTTGGCTCTATGGCATATGGTGATCTGTTACCGTCCGCGCGAGAGGTGGAGTCGAAAGACTCCGCGCTTTGTGAGAAGTTGTCTGTGTCTTCGGGGAAGGCTTAGAAAACATCGCAGAATGCAGGTGGACTTCGGAGCCTTCTGAG